TGGCCTGTTAACTAAAATATTCTTAAATCTTAGAAAGAATGGCTTAACCACAAAGTTCCTGCAAACTGCAAATACTGTAGCTGTAACAAACAAAAATATCCCTGCACAGAGCTTTAAAAAGAGAGAGTGGGAGTAGCTAGTAAAGAGGGGAGTTTTTTTTATTATTATTATTGCTTTTCTGTGCCTTTTCCTCTTAACATCTGCTTCTCCCTCCTCTGTACACTGTTAAAGGAGGAAGGGAAAGGAAAGCACTGACAGCAAACCTACGTACAACATGCATCACGGGCCCACACCACCTCCAGTTAGGTAAGATTGGTGCTACTACTATTCCTACTTCAAAAGAAGAAAAAGATGAGTTCGAGAATCTCACCAACTTGGCCCAGGGCTACATATTCTGAGTGGCACAACTGGAACTGCATCCTGACACTACATCCCTAATACCCCAACCAACAGCTGACAACTGACTTTAGTGAAAATAAAATTCTTAATGCAGCATTTGCATTTTCACAGCTTTTTTGACATTCACGTATAAAATTCATATGTGTACAGTTCATTGGGTTTCAGTATATTAACAGAAATGTGTAACCATCAACACAACCTAATTTTACAACATTTTCAACACCCAAGAAGAAACCCCACATACATCAGCAGTCACCCCCCATTCCTATTCCTCCCTCCCCTCCAGCCTTTCTCTGGCCTCTTTCACTTAGCATGAAGCTTCCCAAGTCCATCCACGCACAGCATGGATCAGCATTTCATTCTTTATCACTGGGTTTGTTTCCGCTTTTCGGCTATAAAGAATAATGCTGCCATGAACATTCATGTACAAGCTTTTCTGTAAATGTATGTTTTCACTCAGCATTTGCCATTTTCAGAGAGTTTTCACAACATTCTCTTCTTTGCATCTTATAACCACTTCATTTTGTGTCAGAGAAAACTGAGACTGGGAGCAGTTAAGTGACTTTATCACCCACTGCTGGGTAACCCTCAGTGAACCTGCAGTAAACTCACACCCTCTGGCTGAAGACTTGTTCATTTCTTACCACCAACTGCTTTGTCTCCTCCACAAGGCATTTTAAGCAGTAGCGTGCAGATGAGAAAAACTCTTTGTTTAGGTGAGGAGCTCCCTGAATCACTCTCAGTAAGTCGATCAATGGGGTAAATTTAAACTAAGTCTTTCAGAATAAGAGAAAGGGAGAACCAAGAGTCTGAGACAGGATATTCTAAAGGTCCCTCCCAAGTGGGGGCCTCCTCCTCCCCGTGGAGACACTCAGAGCTGCCATCCCAGGGCGCTGCAGAGGCACACAAGGGGCCAACCTCCACTGAGGCCAGTCTCCGAGCACGGCCTGGGCCGAGCATAAGCGCGCGTGTGCCTGTGGGTCACACCCGACACCAAGCGCAAGCTCCCAGCCCCGGGCCCCCGGGCCCCAGCACAGAGCGAACTGTTCTGACACGGGTGACGGGATCTGAGGAGCGTACGCTGCTGTGGTCGATCATATAAACCCCCTTCCCAACCTCCCGAAGCAGCTCAAAGGCTGACAGTATCTTTGGTAATGAGGTTCAGGAATACGGTTAATAACTGTATTTGTAATACATAACAGCCATTTACTGACAGCTTACTGGATACCTTTTATGTATTTAATTCATTTAATCTTCACAGTAACTGCAAAATAGGCACTATGATTACCTCCACTTTCTTGTGTGGTGAAAACACGCAGTTGGTGGGAGTATAACCTGGTATAACTTGTTAGGAGGGTAATTTGGAAATAGCTATGGAAACTAAAAGTACCAATATCCTTGACCAGGTACTCTCAATTCCGAGAATATATCTACAGATACACTTCACAGTGCCCAAGGACAGAGATGCGAGAGTATCAGCTGAAAAAGTTTGTAACAGTTAAAACTGGGAATCAAATCTCAATTCAGCAGTAATAAATTATACAATATCCATAAAATGAAATACCTGAGACTATGGAAGAGAATGGAACAGATTCATGTGTGCTGTTACTGAGCATTCACAAAGACCTATTAAGGAGGAGCGAAGTGGGTTTCGTCATGAGTAGTACTTTATTTTTTAAAGGAGGTCAAGTACATACCACCGTTCTGGCTGCGTGCTCTCGGGCAAGTCACTAAACCTGTCGCATAGCTTCTCATCTGCAAAATGGGGTAACAAAGCTTCCCGCACAGTGCTCAATAAAAATTCCTGAAGCTATTACTGTGACTACTTCGTGATTATTTAAGGATGATGCTACTGACAATAACTCTGCCACCATTAGACGGGCTCCCCAAAAACCTCAATTTCACACCTGTACTCCCCAGTGCCAGGCACCAGGCGCGCAAAGGGAAACTGGCAAACAGCACCTGCTCCGGTCCCTCGTCTAGGTCACAGCCCACGAGGGTCTTCTCCTCCAGATGTCTGGCCCACGTGGCCCGCCCCTTCAGCAGCTGCCATCAACAGGCAACAAGAAGCCGTGTGCAGTGAGATGTGTCTCCACTGCCCATCCGTTTCCCTCCAGATGGACAGAGGTTCAATCTCTGATGAACTGTCACCTCCTCAGAGAAGCCTGCCTTACCCCCCATGTGAAACAGGCCCTTGCGGCATCATCTCTCCGCCCTCACCCTGCCGCCATGGCCTTCACGCATTATTCCTACCTGATACTACAGTGTTTTGTTATTACCTATCTCTCATTCTAGAACGTAAGTTCCCCAGAGAGGGGGATGTGTCTCAACCCCTGTGCATCTCATTCCTGCTCTGTCCACTGTGCCGAGTTGAACCCAGCATATTAGAGGTGCTCAACACCTGTGTGTGAAGAGACAGGACTGATACGCAAGTTAATAAAAGCTACAGAATGGAAAATATTCTTGCAAAGTAACTTATTTTAAAATGACTGTTGCCATTTTATTCTGGAAGAGCAAGTTCTCAAGTCACTGTTCAGTTAAAAATTAAGTGGCCTGCAGACTCCAGTCCTATTTTATTTAAAATGCCATCTTTTTCCTATGGAGCATAAATTCATATTAAAATCGTATCAAATAGGCTCAACATTTTTAAGGGATCAAACCAGTGTCGTACATTAGTCATAACACCTGCTTAAGAAGGTGCTCCTGGGATAAGCAAAGCTCAAAGGGCAGACGGCACTAAACCCGCTCCCCTCGCCCCGCCTGCCAAGCACCCCGCGTGCAGAGGGTCAGAGAAAACATTAACTGCTGAACAGTTCTGTTAATGTTTAATGTTATGCTATGTTATGATTCCTAAATGTTTTAAGGAGCCATGTGATAGCTAGTAAGCACTGAATAAACTAAACAAGTATTAGCAAATTTAATCTGCTACTTAACCAAATCTTAGATTCAGCTTTTAAAACCTTACAAGACAGGAAATTCAAACGAGGACATCCCTTATCCTTATCAAAATAACCTGCCAAAGCATGGGGGAAGATAAAAACAAACTGATTTCTAGGATTCAAACATAAACTGTTTTTGTTGGTGGTATTGTTTTAGTGACTTTAGCTTCTCAAGAAGGCTAGGAATTCAATTTGTGTAAAAAGAATAATGGTGCCATTCACCATCTCCAACACAGGAAAAATTTTAAAGTCCTACTGCTAACATAACAGAACAGAGTTTAAGAATGTTTATAGGACTACATCATGATTCAGAACCCATCAATGAAAAATTTACAATGTCTGGAATCCAACAAAAAATTACCTGATGAGCAAAGAAGCAGGAAAATATACCCTATCGAGGAGCTAAGTCAATCAAACCCAACCCAGAACTGAGAGAGAAGTTACAATTGGTGGACAAGATCACCAGAACAGGGAGTACAACGGTATAACATACGTTCAAAATCTCAAACAGAAAGATGGAAGATATAAAAATGATACAAACTGAACTTCTCAAGATGAAAGCTACAACATAAGATAAAAAACTACACTGAACAAGATTAACGGTAGATTAAACACTGTAGAAAAGAGAGGAGTGAATCTGAAGATAGAGCAATAAAAAACAATCAAAACAAAACACACAGAGCAAAGACAAATGAACAGAGCATCCATGAGCCATGGGGCAACTTTAAATGGTCTAACCTGAATGAAACTGGAGTTCTTCAAAGAGATGACATAGAGAAGAAAAAATTATTTCTTAAAAAATAGCCAGAATTTTCCCTAGTTTGATGAACACTAAAAACCCAAGAAAGCTCTCAATGGATCCCAAGCACAAGATACACGTAAAAAACTGCGGAACACAGAAGCACATCAAAATAAAACTGCTCAAAACCAGTGATAAGGGAGGTCTTGAAAGCAGCCAAAGAAAAGGACAACGCATGTAGAAGAACAAGGCACAGACGGCAGCAGACTGCTTACAGGTGACGCGAGCAAGACGGCAGTGAAGCAGCATCTTTAAAGGGAAAACTGAAAGACTTCAGTCCCACGGTTTTGAGTTCCAAGTCCCTGGGTGCAAATCTGTAATTTAGTATAGCAAGTCTCTGTCATTCATCTGGCAAGATTAGCTATAATACACACAGCATCGGATTTTTTCAGTACGATGTTTTTACACCCAAAAGGCATGAGATTAACTGTTGGAGATGCATTCAAGAGAAGTTAATGCACCATTAGTAACGGTTCCTCTCTCCTTTCTTGCTCCCAAGTATAATCTAAATATACGATAACAAATCACACACTTGGGCATCATCTACCGCTTACAAAGTACTTTTCCACTTAATTTCATACAAACTCTCTGAAGTAGATAAGGAAGGTATGGTCATATCCACTGCATAAATGGGAAAACTGAAGCTCAGAAAAAAGAGAAGTGATTTGCCCAAGGATGTGAGGTGGAGTAAGTGGTGGAGGTGGGGTAGGAAAGGGGCCTCGCCATTCCTTAGGCTCTTCCTCTAGGCCAGGTATAATGCTAGCTTAAGATTCACTGGGAGCGGGGTGGGGGGGTGGTAGAGCTCAGAGGTTAGTGCACGGTTAGCATACATGAGGTCCTGAGTTCAAGCCCTAGTTAAAAAAAAATTAGTAAATAAATAAACAAACCTAGTTACCTACCCCCCTCAAAACAAAACACACACAGAAAAGATTAATTTGGCAAAAAGAGTTACACAGCTATGTGTAACCAGCCCTTTCTAACTCCAAGTAGCTCTTTCTATTAAACCACAGCTGAAATATATTAAACTAAAGGACAAACATAAAATATAAAAATTCATTCTGGGATACAACTAGAATAATGAAGTTGAAAGTTTAACTCAAAGAAAAGTAAAACAGATTCCTTAATGAAGAAAAGAACAGTATTTCGCTTACTATAAAGGACAAGACCCCCAACGACTGCCCTACAGCCAACACCATGTGACATCTCAGGGTAGTGTTTCTCCCACACAGCTGCTCACTGCAGGCCGAAGCTGGATGCAGTAAAAGAAGGTCCACTGGCAGACAAAACAGTTCAGTCCAGAAGGCAGATACCTAACTGGACCTAATGATAAAATTTAGACTCCGGGCAGAAATCAGCAAATGCCTGCCCTCCCAAGCCAAATCCAGCTCACTGCCTGCTTTTATAAGGGCCACAAGCTAACACAGATCTTCAAAGGCTAAAAAAAAATTTTTTAAACATAAGTAACGACAGACATGAAATCAATTTAAATTTCAGAGCCCATAAGGAAGGTTTTATTGGACAGTTATTGATTCATTTACGAATCCTCTATGGCTGCTTCCATGCAACAGCAGAACTAAGCAGTTGAGAGATTACACAGCTCTCAAAGCCTGAAGTACTTATTATCCAGCCCTTTACAGAAAAAGTTCGCCGACTCCTGCCTTAAGGGAACAGATGGGTCTCTAATTTTGCCATGAACATTATTTCTCAAAACTAAGCTTTCTGAAAATTAACTGAAGATCACTACTGCAACAAATAATTCTTAAAGACCTGCTCTCCCCCAGGCACCGTGCAAGCCTGGGGAAACAGAGCACTAGACAAGGTGCAGCGCCTGCCCTCACGGGGAAGCCCAGGGCCCACGGGTATAGCCAAGTGCCTAAGTAACAGGATGAAGAAAATATACAGACGAAGGGCAGCACAGCCTGGTGGCTAAGAGCGTCATCTCTGGGGTTAGACATCCTTGGTCTGAATCCCAGCACCACCAACTCCTATGGGACCCTGGCAATCACTTAAACTTCCTTGGTTTTCTTCAACTGAAAAAAATGATAATAGTATCTACGCAATAGGATTGTTTTAAGGATTAAATGAGATAATATATAAAAAGTACAATGACTAGCATACAGCAAGTGTTTAAAAAGATGAAAATTCAAGTTTAAACTGAATTTCAGGAATTCTATGTTACCAGCTAAATGGTATCCCTATTTTTCAACAGTCATTTAAACGCTGCACCCAACGTGGGTAACTAACCCCACCTTCACAGACAGTAGTCCTGGGTCCACTGCAACACTAGTTATATAAGGGACCACTGTTCTAAGAGCAAGTCCATAAAGCAGTGGTTCTTAATCAGGGAATGCATTTGAACCACCTGGCCCAGGATCAGGATTCAAGTCTAGGTAGGATCTCTGTGTATGTGTTTAAGCCACTGCCATAAAACGTGGCTGCAAAAAATTTAGTCTAAAAAAACCTGCCATTTCTCCTTCACAAAATGCCATTTTTTCTTTGCCCACTGAGTCCAACTTTCAGTCTCAAGTTTAATTCTACCTTCTTTATGTAGCCCTCCCTGATGGCATTTTATTTTTAGCTGTCATTTTCCTAATTGTCCGACAATTTCACAAAGACTTCAAGAGACTGATCCTAAATCATTCATTCATTCCCCACATACTTATTGGGCACCTACTAGGTGTCATGCTAAGTGCTCAAAACACAGTGGGAAGCGAAACCAAGGTGCTGTAAGAGATGAGACTGGAGATGTGGGAAGAGGACAAACCTTGAAAGCCTCGTCCTGGAACTCGGGGCTGACGGGCCATGGAGAATCACTGAAAGCTCTGACAGGGAAGTGTCACAGCCTGGTCTACGACTCAGAACTCATTCTAGCAAGAACACAGAGGGGCCAGCTTAAACAGTGGATAAATATCCACTGCCTTAATGGAGTATCATTCTTGTGGAAGCAAAAACAAAAGTGAACAGACAATCAAAACTGAAGAACAGAACTGTCTGAGTTAGTGAGTGACAGGGAAAACCTACATTAAGAGGGCAGTTAAGGAGGATTCTTTAAAAGACATTTAAGCGGAGTCCTGAAAGGTGAGAAGGAGGGGTTGTAAAAGCACTTGTTCTAGGCAGAGGGATCAACATGCAACTCTCTATATCAGAAACGAGCTAGGCAGGCTGCAGGAAGACTACTGAGAACGCAACATACCTGAGGAAGCAGAACGGCAGGGCGGGAGCATGACAAGGAATCCGGATTTTGTTCTACATGTAACAAGAAGTCATTGCGTTGCTTTGTTTTGTTTGTAAAATTACTTATTTCATTGTGAGTGCATCATCCAATTACATGAGTCAAAATCTGAAAGATTTATAACGTTATACAGAGAAAAGAAAGTCTTGTCCCACCCCTGCCCAAGAGCCTCATAGTTCCCTAGAGGCAACCGCTTTATCAGCCTTTGAAGGGTTTCAGCAAGACAGAACATGATCTAATTTACACCATGTAAGTCACCCTAGCTGCCAGGTGGAGAGTAAGCAGAAAGAAAGGACTTGGGGAAACCAGCTAGAGGCTGCTGCAGCAGTCCAAGGGAGACAAGGCGGCTGCTGGGACCCAGGTGGTATAGTGGGGATGGGACAGAAGGGCTGATTCAGGATGTATTCTGAAGGCAGAGCTGACAGCAAGACAGCATTAACAACTATACTTGTAGGCTTCATTTTCCACACACTACAACCTATGAGTCTAATATTTTAGATCTTAAAGCTTAAATACTCAGGATTCAGTGAATATGTAGATTTATAATGAGTGAGAGAACAATAGGAAACAACAGAAAATTACTAAAGTGTGATGTTAACAACTTGACTAATAATGAACTTACTGTGTCTATATGAGTCAGATGATTTCATCTCAGAAATAGCATTTATGAAACCAACCCCAAATTATCACTGCAATTGAGGGACTGAAATAGCAGCTGCTCAAAAAACTTAAAATGCAAAACTAGTCTTCAACACTGTAGCTTTAACTACCACGTAATAGAGAAGGCTAGTCTTCTCAATAGAACAGAATTTCAGAGCATGACATCACACCTCTGTGAAGTACTTCCTTCCATTCTGATAATTTTAAATGTACCGGAAAATTCTCACCAAATCACAGTACAAGAAAAAAATGCCACTAACGGACAAGACACTTGTGTTAAACAGTCATTAAAAGCAGTCACGTCTTCTTAAATAAAGTATGATACAACCACGTAAAGAAGCACAAAGCAACTGAAAGAAGGAATGAGAAATATGTCTATATTACAGTCTGGCATGGATGCCAAATGTTAAGTGAAAAAAAGCATGGTGGGGCCAGAGAAATGCAAGTCAGACAACAATGACATACCACCTCGTATCTGTTAGGATGGCTACTATGGCTACTATCAAAAAAACAGAGAACAAATGTTGGCAAAGATGTGAAGAAATTGGGACCCTTTTGCTCTACTGGTGGGAATGTACAATGGTTCCTCAAAATTTTTTAAACAGAATTACCATATGATCCAGCAATGCTAACAATGGGTATATACCTCAAAGAACTGAACGCAGGGTCTCAAAGAGACACTCGTATATCCATGTTCATAGCAGCACTATGCACAATTGCTGAAATGTGGAAACAAACCGAGTGTTCGAGGGACAAATGGATAAGCAAAATGTGGCATATACATACAAAGGAATGTTACTCAGCCTTAAAAACAAAGAAAATCCTGACACAGTCTACAGCATGGATGAACCTCAAGAACATTATGCCAAGAGAAATAAGTCAGACAGAGAAACACAGATACCATATGATTTCACTTATCTAAAAACAAGACAAAAAAACCAAACTCATGGATACAGAGAACAGACTGGGGGAGGCAGTACAAAATGCGTGAAGAGAGTTGAAAGGTAATCCATAGGGAAAAGAAGGAATGGGTTACAGTCAGCCTTACATATCCAATGCTGCAGAACCACGGGTACAGAGGGCTGGCTGCACCTCGTTTTATGTTTGACTTTGAAAGCCTTTTAATATTTTACCAAATTAGAAAACAAAATTAAATTTAAAAAAATCAATTCCTTAGCCACTATTTCATAATAACTATAAATGGGGGTATAGAACCTTCAAAAATTACAAATCATTGTATTACACACCTGCAATTTATATACTATTGTACATCAAATACACCTCAATTTTAAAAAAAGCAACTTCTAAATGTAGAAAGCAAAATAAAAAACAAAACTCTACTACACATCTAGTGGAGGCAAAATCATGGAGTAACTATTCTAAGTGACTTCAAAACACAGTAATTTAACTACATATTCCAAATAAGGATGCAAAAAAGCCCCTCTTAAACAGTTTTTATTAGTTGGGGGTAGTGTTTGTATTATTCTTCTGATACTGAAATGTGTGTACAGTGTCGGATAAAACAATGAGTAACTAGAATCAAGATATCTGTCTTAGGGGAAAAAAGATACAGGTGTAAGATCAAGAAGGTTAAACACAACTCTGTCGAAGTGTCAGTAATCCACGATGTGTGTGCACTGAAAAGACCTGGAAACAATGATCAATTTAGTGGTAATGAACAACCTCAGGGCACAGACTATGATTACTAAATACTATTTTTTCATTAAAAGAAACCAAGGCTCCTTGGAAAAAATGGACAATTCCAGGGCTGGGACAGAAAATGTGTAAGATGAGTCTGGTACAGTATGTCATACAGAAAGATCAAACAAAGACTATTAGAGTTGTGTCCAAAGGATTTAGGAGCCAATTTGAACAAATTCTTACTGGACAATGATGCAATAATTTGAGTATCAATAAGGATCTACGATGGACTGAACCATATCAAATATGTTTAAATCCACGAGTTCACAATGACACAAATACATATACAGAATTCACTGGCTACTTCTGGAGGATGCCAACTTATTATTTCCAAAACTAGTAAGAGAGGAATTAAGCATTTATCTTCCCTTTCCTAAAAGAGCTATAATTCACGGTAACTAAATTACGGAGGGGAAATTTCTCTTTATAGAAATATTCCAGCTAATAAATGATTAAGTTATATAATTAAAATATCAACATTTTTCAATGCCTCAAGAAATACTGACTCTAAACACTGGCAAGAAGACTACTCATCTTTATCTGCATACTAATCTATGAAGTCTTCTTGCCAAAAATCAATCCAACCTGAATCTGATCACGCCTTAGATCCAACCAAATTAGAGTAAATGTACAGTAAATTCTGTATAGTTAACTACAAAACAGAATAAAATCCAGACTGTGTGTAATTCCACAGGACAAACCATCAATTTGAGCAACAAATAAATTACAAGAGATAACAAAAGATGGAGGAGGAGCCTACAGATTAAAACAAGTTACAATGTACGCATAGCATTTGGGCCCTGATTCAAACTGTTAAAAAAAATAAGAGAGAGAGAAAATCAAGAAAATTTTAACACTGGTCGGATATTTGAATTTTCCAGGGTTTTTTTAAAAAGCATCTTTTAAAGCATTTCAATATTTACTTTTCTGATTCAGTACAATGACTACTTGAAAGAACTAACCAAAACCTAATCAAGAGAAACAGCTTTTATAGTAAAAGCAGTAACACAAAACTGAATACCAAACAAAACCTTATCAGTATCAGACAATATCAAAGAGTTAAAAGAGAAAATGGTTAGCTGTAGTAATTAGATTTTGGAAAGGAAACGATCCCACCTTTTGGAGACTGGATAGAATTTAGATTCCTGTCATTCAGTGAGCCTCTGTAACTAAAACCACACAAGCAGTAAAATATCGCTTGTCCTGCCGTAAACCACATCAAAACTCTGAAAAGCAGTTCTGACTGCCAAAACCATCCACTTCCTTAAAAAACAACTTTACTATTCTAGTTTTCCCCACAGTCAGTCAAAAGGCTACATTACGATTTTGGATTTAAAAAAATTCACACGTGCGCTGGCATCTGCCCATTAATTGAAGACTCCATTGATTACAATCCCACCCTCATACAATTCACCCTCTTTGCCTGGTGCACCCTCCCCTCTCTGATGCCTGCTGAACTCCTGCTCGTCCACTCTGACTCATTTTCACCTGGGGCCTTTACTGATGTGTTTTGCAAAGACACAGTGGACCTTTCAGCAGTGTATTTCCTATCCTCATTAAGATTTAATCAATTTTTCATATGCAAAAAAAAATCGTTCTGTAACTCTCAAGCACTGCATACACCTATCAGGTGTGTTTCTGGTTCTTGGAGATATGACAACTGCTTTATGTCATTTAGGCAAATTCAGATGGTCACACCACCAGTAGTTTCAGATGAACCAAAATATTTATTTCAAGGTAGGTACGCATGAAATGAGCACCTACAAAATATCCTGAGCCATGAATTACAAGAGCAATAATAAAACTGTAGAGGCAGAGACCCTCTGACACCCCTCCTCCCCCCCAAAAAAACAAAGCGAAAAAGAAAGGAAAGAGAAGGAGGGGCGAAGACGTCCAACAGCCCCTTCACTAATGAAGTTGCAGGACAACCTTATTACCGTTCGCAGGCAGGTCTGGCTTTTCCCTTTTTCTCAGAAGCTGTCGTTTTTTAAAAACCGAGCTGACAGGCAGGATCCGGGTGCCTGAGTCTGTCTGCGCCTGTGCACAAACATCTCGAGCCGTCCGCGCTCCGGGCCACGGGCCCGGCCGTCGCGAGCACCAGGCTGACCCAACGCCCGGCCCGGACCCTGCTTTTCCACACAGACCCCGAAGCCCCCGCCCAGCCCACAGACGAGCTGCCCAGGCGCCCCCACAGACAAGCCCGCGTGGAGAGGCGCTTGCAGGGCGTTGGCCCCTCCGCACCCGGCCAGGGCCCACCGCCGAACGACGGGGACGCCTCCCGGGGCGGCCCCCCGGGCCCCCCGCCAGCACGGACCC